CGGAACTTTATAACCTTAATAAAAAATCATATCCTGTTTTATTCTGCATCCTTGAGTTGTTGTGAAAAGCGCTTTATTAAACTTGTGTTTTGTTATTATTATTTATACAATGATTTTTCTTACTTTCCAGATTAATTATAATAATAGACCAATGAATGTTGCACCTAAAGTGAATTTAATAAGACTTGATTGCATGACAGTAAAGATGAATCAAAATAACTGTTTTTTGTTGAAATGCATTATTTCAGATATTAAATACACCAAACGAATCAACTTGATGAGTTCATGATGACTTTATGATAAGTCATGTCACATATAATTTCAGTATATTAACAATAACAGTTATATCACAATTAGATCTCATATATTAAGAGAAATATTTTCTAATAAGCCTCTTAGGACGAATGAGACGTCAAGGGACTTTAACGCCTCCTACATTTCCAGGTCTCTGATTGGTCCAACATGGACCCTTTAAAGAGGGAGTCGCTTCCTCTATTGTCGAGTTCCCGCCAAAATGCTAAACGCTGTCTCTTGTGAGATCCAGCACATCTCACAATAGCGGCATAGAACCACCTTTTTTCAGAACCAAAACAACCATTATTTGTTTTAACCTGCAACAACTTCATCAGATGCAAAACAGCTTGTGAGCCGCCAGCAGATGCCCAGAGTGCATCTCTTGACCAGGCGTGCGGAGTCAAAGGTACTACGACCTTTGATAACCACAACGCGCCTGGTCGAGACGACTTCGCGGCCAGGTGGATCGCCGAGAACTCTCATCACACCAGTATCGTAGCTCTGCACACTGGCGTTGAATGGGTTAAGATTAATTTGATAACTAATCCAACATCACTAGATTCAGCCAGATTGTTCCTATAAGCCCAGATATCACATTCTTTACTAAGACACTTAATTAGACTCTTAATAACATCTTAGATAATATTTCATTAAAGTTTGGTTATTAATTTTACCTTGAATAATCATTTATCTACAGGTATTCTGTATAATCATTAGTCGTAGAAATATAGTAATAAATAGATTTTTATAAATTATGTTCTTGCTTCATTGTCAAATTATTGGTAAGTATTGGTTCCTTGGCTACCCAAGTACCTATTTCCAGTGTCAATCGGATATTAAAGGTTCAATAATCATATTTTTATGGAACATTGTACAAACCGGATTCCAAAAAAGTTGGTACACTATACAAATCGTGAATAAAAACTGCATGCAATGATATGGAGGTGCCAACTTCTAATATTTCATTCAGAATAGAACATAAATCATGGAACAAAGTTTAAACTGAGAAAATGTATCATTTTAAGGGAAAAATATGTTGATTCAAAATTTCATGGTGTCAACAAATCCCAATTAAGTTAGGACAAGGCCATTTTCACCACTGTGTGGCATCTCCCCTTCTTCTTACAACACTCAACAGATGTCTGGGGACCGAGGAGACCAGTTTCTCAAGATTAGAAATAGGAATGCTCTCCCGTTCTTGTCTAATACAAGCCTCTAACTGTTCAATCGTCTTGGGCCTTCTTTGTCGCACCTTCCTCTTTATGATGCGCCAAATAAGATCTGGGGCCTCATTTGTCAAGCTTGCTTACGCACAAAATGGGGTCAGAAAACTGCGTAAGCAACTTTCCACGCAAACTTTGGGATTTATGAAAGAAAACTTAGCGGAAAAATGTGCGCAACTTTAAGATGACTAAGGACCTGGCTTACGCACATTTTGGACATGGAGAGCACCTGCAGTGCTGCTGCTGAGAAGGATAAAATAATGAAATCCTGCATCATTATCACTTGTACTGCTTCGTTTTCACACAGAACAAGACCCCCCACATGCACACACACGCACTAGCACACACACACACACACACAGCCTGAAGCGCAGAATACGGAATGCAGAATATCAGCAGGGGGACAGATTGAGACAGAATTTCATGCGTCTGTGACAGTGTGTGTCCTGTCACTGTGAGCTGATTGATCATGTGCGCTGGCTTCTTGGACTAGGGAGATCTCTGTTTGGCTGACTGGTTAGCGCGCGTGACTTTCACCTGGGAGTTTGGTGATCGAATCCCGATTGGACCATTTTTTTTTATATCCGCCACAGATCTCTCTGAAGAATTCACAACATTGACAGCTTCAGCAACGTTGTGCCACTCCGTGGATTTTCTCTTATTAGTTTTGCAAAAGCACTTCCTTTCATTTCTCCACCTCACCCACAGGTACCTGAATTTCTTCTTCTGTGAAATTGCACTTCCTTGATCTGGCTTGATCTATGGTCACCATGTCATTGGCGGAGCGCTGCGACAGCTTATGTATATGTATGAGATCCACAAGGCACTTTGCATTGACTATTTATGGCAGTAAGTGATCGTGGTGAGGGCGGGATGTGACTAAAATGCAGCTGAGAAACATTCTTGTTAGTCTCCAATTTAATTTAATTGAAGCGGAGATTGCGTGCAGCTGTGCGTACTCCATGTTTGACCTCGACATCATTGCATTCAGTTTTTATTCACGATTTGTATAGTGTCCCAACTTTTTTGGAATCCGTGTTGTACTTGTTGAATACCTTTATATTTATTAACAGTTTATTAATTGTGACCACTTACAAAACGTTACATTAAGAATTATATCTGATTATGTAAAATTAAATCTAGACCTATTTTTATCTAAATACAAATATGGTGGCATTAAACTAATTTTTTAGGAAACATGTGAATTCAATGTTCCTTGTTTGTGGGCAATGAAGATGTATTCTATTCCATTGTATTGTAGAAAAACTGGAAAAAAATATATCTATGATCACAAAGTATGTGATAACTATGACTTTCAAAATCATAATTATGTTTTTTAAAACTTAAACCTAATGGCCTAATGGTAAAAATATTTATTAAATAATTGTTCATTTGAAACTTGTGACTTTCAGAAACATTATTTTGACTTTCAGAAACATTATTTTGACTTTCAGAAACATTATTTTGACTTTGACTGCATTGGATTGTGGAAGTGGGATCATATATCACCAGCTCTGCATGCACTGGAATGGCTACCTGTAAAGCATCGTATTGAGTTTAAAATACTGGTTTTGGTTTTCATCCATGCAGGAACAACTCCTCATTAATGACCCACACTTGTATAGCGCCTTTCAGAGTAAGGACTCCAAAGGGCTTTACACTACAGTGTATCATTCATCCATTCACACACACTGATGGTGATGAGCTACTATGTAGCCACAGCTGCCCTGGGGCGCACTGACAGAGGCAGGCTATCAGTGCTTCTTAGGATATATGTTGTTCCATCTAGATCCCTGCACTCTGCTGATGGTGACCTGCTGGTGGTCCCAAGAACTAAGTGCATATTTCGTGGGGATCGTGCGTTAGCTGTGATGGCCCAGAAACTATGGAACTGCTTTCCTGGTGATGTTAAGCAATCTACCTCCCTTTGGAGTTTTAAAGCCAAACTGCATCACTACTTGAGGTCATTGTCTTTTAGGTGACTTGCTGAAATTGTGCTGTCATGATCGTATGGTGGTCGGAAACTGTTTCTGTTTGTTTTTTTATGTTGGCTTGTTCTGTTGTTCTTATGTGATGCGTGGTTTCTAATGTAGATATTCTTAAGTATTGCTTGGTTTTTATTCCATTGGCAAACAGGGTTCACTGAAATGTCTTTTTCAATTTTACTCAATGCATTTTTTTTCTTATCTTACTTTTCTATTGTATTGTGTTCAGCACCTTGGGCTACCTTGATTGGTGGCAGGAAGGAGCTTTATGAATAAATTGACTGATTGATTTCATAATTATGGCTTCAAGACTTTGAGACTTAACATGTGACTATGTCTTAAACTAAGGTGCATAAATGAACTTCTATATCTAATGATAAGCTGGGTGCATTTATTTAAGAGCCAGTGTTCACTCTCTTTAACAAAAATGATGATCAGCTAGTAATAATGGATCTTTAGTTATTTTTAATCATATTCATCTCAGTCAACCTACATAATCTATATAACATGTTTTAATATAGTCTTAATGTGTTTTTGTTGTCATTGACCTTTATTTGTCTTGCATGTTTGTGAGTCACAGACACATTTCCTGTAGAAAATAATAAATGTGCTCTATATTTTTTGTTTTCTATTAAAAATGTAAAATATGGCAACATTTGGCTACTTTTAACATTATTCTACAACCAGCACTTCATAAACCTGATGTTTATCAGAGGGATTTCCATTCATCTTTTTATTTTAAGATGATGTCATCATAATGTAAAGTGATTGTTGAGGCTTAGTTTTTGACATTCCTGCATGCTTCTGTAGTTTTTTTTTTTAGGTTCTTTTTTCCTGACCCTGCTGGTAAGCTTCTCCGGGTAGTCTAGCTGCCTCCCCCTGCTGCACACTGAAGGCAGCGCTGCTCCACTGATCTACTGACCCACTTTTAGAACGAGCTGAAACCGCTTGACGTGCATAAAATAAACTCCGGTAGCTCAAGTCCGGTTGTGAAAATACGCTTAAACTCTTCAGTCGGATGGTTAATGTGTAGAAATTACTTGGGGGTTTAAGCCAGCAAAGGTAAAATGCTGAATTGAACCCGAGAAAAAAAATCACGTCCCTATGATTACTGTGACGTAGTTCCGTGATTTCCGCACCCGACGCAGTCGGAAACGAGCACGTAAAACACGTGCGTAAAACAGACCGACCATCACGTAAGCACGCAACGAAGCAATTAACCGACAACCGGCATTTTTATATCGGAGATGGATAAAGGTTTGTTGCCGCAGAAGTCTTTGCCGAACGTCACAGTCGAATATAAAAATCCTTGTGTCGTTTACGACTTTAAATTCGATGTCACTAAACCAACTAATTCACTAAAGCGGGGAAAAGTCCAATTAACTGTACACCTTGTTCGAGTTTTCAAAAAGTGGTAAATAAACTCCAATAACACTGGTGAAACTGGTTTTCTAGTCGAATCGCAGCACAGACTGGCACCCGGACAGGTGAAGCTTACCCGCCGCAGGTCTGGTTGCCGTTCCCCCGGAGCCCCCGGCCGACATGCCTACGGACTGGTACCCGGTGAAGCTACGGAGCTCCGCGGCGCATACCGAGCCTCCAGCTGGAGTAGTTTTGAGGAGAGGAGGAGGAACGGAGGGAACTTAGGAGGGCCGGCGAGTTGTATAATGAACTTCATTTTCCCCTCTACCTCCTCCTCCCGTGAAGTGTTTTTTTTTCCCAAACAAAGGCACGTGAGTCTGTGAGGGGGAGGGTAGAAACGTGAGGGGTAAGTCGGACCAGAACAGGTTTTTTTGTTGTTCATTCAGACGAATTACAACCGCTTCTCTGTTCATATTCAATCAAAATTTCCCGATGAAATAAAGTCATGGTACTTTATATTTTAAATATGAAAGGATAATTAACTTTTAAACTAAATAAAGAATATGTTGCTCTGGTTTGAGTTCATCACAGACGGAATCGTTATGGATCGAGGAGGTCAGACTGTGTCGAAAGCGTGCTGAAAGCGCCTGTCAGCGCTAATAAATAATGTGAAAAACAGAGCCAGGGGACTTCCGACGGGCCCGGTGATTGTTTTCTGTCATACGCGTGTTGGTGACCTGAATAAAGACCCAGGCGCGTCATCCCAGCTTTCTTTAGACAGAGCTGCAGCGTAAAGGATGTCTCACTCTGTCTGTTTTTACGGAGACTAGGAACAATTAAAGAAATTCCCTAGAAAGCACACACACACACACGCCCCTCCTTAAAAAAGAAAGAAGGAAAAAAAACACAAAATGATAGAAAAAAACAATACCAGAATAAAGCTGAAATTTTAATGATAAAAGTTCAAAATGTTTCAAGAACAGATTGGTTCTCCACATGGTGGTTGGTCCCTCACCCTGCATCAGGGCCAGTATTTAAAAGCACAACAAATACAGTCAGATTCTACAGCAGAATGGGGTTTTCCTTCTGGGGCTATTTGTGAAATAAATCCCTTTATTTATCTTACAGAAATAATATATTCGTTTCATGTGACATTTCATCAATATAGTGAAGTAAAGAAGCATCAAATTGCAGAAAAATATGCTGGAGAAGGTTCTCAGACTTTCAGGTCATGGTTGTTATCCAGAGGAGTTGGAATGAAGGAAACTGGACTGCTTTGGTTTCTTCAAGAAATCGCAGAAAACTGTTAAAAATGTAATATAGAATTTTTTTTCCACCGCTGGTCCACACAAAAACCTGAAGGGATACTGTAAATGACTCAAAGGTTAGAAACAATAATTGGGGGTTTAAATTAATTTCTGAAATATCCCAAAATGTGTAGATCCATTTATATCTTTCTATAGTCCGTTATCTATAGAATGAAAAGTCATCGGATAACTCAGAAACATCATGCTGTTGCAAAAACTTAAATCTAATTGCAAAACAAACGACTTGGTAAATTGCTAGAGTGGTACATCTTAGTCAATAATGACGATCTTTGTCACTCACCTACATAGTGTAATGCGAGACCTTTGCACGAGACTTTACGTAAGAAAAGAAGACTGCACGTGCCAGCGCAGAACGTGTTGACCTATATAATTATATAACTTGACGGTCACGTGACGACAGTCGGTTAATTAACCCATTTATGTACGGAGAAAGTCCGGCGTTTCCCTTCTCAGTGAGCAGATGGACATGAAGCAGCTTAAGCACCGACAATAAGTGAACTTCGCCAAACTCTAACGATTAGGACTTTCAGTCATTTTTATTGGCTGACTTTCAATTGATCCCATTGGATCGGTGTGGTGTGTTCCTGCTGATATTTTCACTATGTAAATATAAAAAGTAGTCAAAACGTGTCGTTATGAGTTTAAAAATCATATTTTATCATTTTCAAACAAAATAATGATTTAACCTAATAATTTAGTTTTAAAATCACAACTGTATCTAAATGTTTTTGTTTGAACATGAGAACCAAAAGCATTTCTAATAATTCACTTTCAAAGTCCCAATTCTGAATTTGGATAAACGTTATAACTAAAAAAGTCATAGTTATGACTTTATACATAAAAGTTAGAAGCATGTATGTATATATCCAAGTCATAAGTATGACAAGATTTTCTAATTCATGACTATTATTCCTTAAAATTATACTTCAGTTAAGACATCAGGAAATCATCAATGGAACCAGGAAGTGTCCAGCTCCACTGTCCCTCCACGGTCCCTGAGGTCCAGTGATCAAAGCCTACTGGTTGTGCAGCACCAGGCTAAAGACCAAAGGTGACAGATCATTTGCTGCTGTGGCCCCCAGACTCTGGACCTCTCTCCCTGTCACGTTCTGCCCCTGCCTTCCTGACTGTGTCTCTCTCCTGCCCTGATTAGCCCTTATTGTTCTCACCTGCCCCTCGTTAACCTGCCCATGTGTTCCTGATTTCCCTGTATATTTATACCTCCCTCCTTGTGCCAGTCTTTGTCAGATCATTGTTGTTTATCGTGTTGTTCTTGTTCCTGCCGTATCCTGTCATTAAACCCATTTTTACTTTATTCGTGCCTGCATTCCTGCCTCCGGAACTCTCCTCCACACATGGTCCATCATCTCCACACCCTCGCAACATGACACTTCCCCGAGCCTGAGATCAGTGGACTCAGTGGTCTCCTTTAAAAAGCAGCTGAAGACTCACTTGTTCAAGCTGGCTGTATGTCCTTCTTCCCCACTCTCTTCTGCTCTCCCTACCTATTCCATCTTCCTCAGGATCCACTGATTTCCCTCTTTCGTGTTCACTTTCTCTCTTTCTTAACATTTTTTTAATCACAATTGTCTATTTTTGCTCATTTTAAATATATTTTTAAACATTTTCTAAATGCTTTTTATATTTTTACATTTTCTGTTTTGTGAAGCGCCTCATGATCTTGAGAGGCGCTATAGAAATATTTTCTTCTTCTGTATTTCCTTAATTTGCATTTGTAGGCAGCACAAGTTCTAGAGTGTGTGTGTGTGTGTGTGTGTGTGTGTGTGTGTGTACCAGGTCAACCCTCACAAAGAGGTTATGAAGCTATAATTACTAAATGTTAAAATTATGACTTTGTATAGAATATGTTTGCCTTAAATCACTCAACCCATCTTTATGCATTTGTGTCATGACTTTTGGTTCAATGACCTTTCAATATGAAACTCATATTTATGACTTTGTTATTTACATTTTATGACTTTAACCCTCGTATTTGTGGAAACATCATTATTTTATTTGAAATCATATTCATACACTTAATTCATCTGTTGGATTTAGGCCAGTTCTGCGCACCCTTCTTTTACATTTAAACTGTGTCAGTTGCAGATATCTAGAAAATATAATTTGCTTGGAGAATAAAAGGACTTGACTCCATGCTGGCCCTCAGGTGACTTGATGAAAGATGTTAATGACATAAAAGGATGCTTTAAATGCATTTTTCCATCTAACCTGCTCACTCTGTTACAGTCTGAGTGGGGGTCATGTCATGAAACCATGTTTCATCCATGGTGACCTCACTAGTGCGTCAGCGTGCAGCTTTCTGCAGTAACCTGATTTCCTGTTGTAAACCCAGTTTCCTTAACAGGCTGAGGGATTATGAGAAGCCTGGTTAAGTTGATTTCAGATGGTGGGAACATTGTCAGTGTCAGGCAGGAGGATGAGAGCGATAAGACATTTCACATGTGGAGGGCAAAGTGTTGCCATGACAACACGTTTTTAGTCCTCATTTTACTGAGTGTGCTGCTCAAAGCTGTTCCAATAATTCAATTATCTTATGTTTGTTTCACGGGCAGAAATGCAAATTCAACAAATTCTGCAGAAAAACTGGACATTATGAAAGTTTTAAGTAATTTGTTTAAAGAAAAAAAATCAACTCCTGATTTGTGCGAAAACATGTCAAGTTGAAATGCTCTGATCAGCTGTGCATAAGAGCTCTCCAAGAGCTCATCATCATGAGCTAAAATCTCCCAGGGACATGATGTATGGCATCAAAATGGGCTCAGCTCCATGTAAAAATAAAAAAAACATTGTAAACTCGAAAAATGAAATTGTAAAATCTAATGAAAATTCAAAACTTGAAAAATAAAATGTAAATTCCAACAAAATGATGCTCATGGTTCTGCAAATTCAACAGTCATTAAGTTAGTTCAGATGCTTGATTTTAGCATGGAAACACATTTTCTATCCCTCCTCTGATAAATCCCTGTCCTGGTTGTTTGGAGCTTCTGGGAAAAAGGATCGTCTGTGATCTGCCAACAATAAGGCTGCATGGTGACGCAGTGGTTAGCACTGCGGCCTTTCTGCATGGAGTTGCGTGTTCTCCCCATGCATGCGTGGGTTTCCTCCGGGTACTCCGGTTTCCCCCACAGATCACAACATGCCCTATAGGTTATAAATAAAGGTTGGATAAAAGCGTCTGCTAAATGAATAAACATAATAAAGCACTATTTTATTTTCACCACTAGGGGGCATTGGTACTCTATTCAGGCTGGCAAGGCACTTCACAATAAAGTCATTCACTCATTCACAATCTGAGGGTAATGGAGTTACAGTTGCGGTGAGGTGCACTGACAGAAGCATTGATATTGGAGAACGGGCTGCCCTAAGTCAGGGTTTGGACCAGAAGTTAACTGACATGTCAGCATGAGCTGTAAGTGTCTAGAAAAAGAACCATCAGTTTAAATACTCTGTAAACCTCACAAACTCACCTTTTGCATCCTTTAGCGCTGCCATGTGGGTTCAGTTTCTGTCTGTTTTAGTTTTAGAAATCATGTGCCTAAAATGAGTTGTTTCAGAAATTCTCCATTTGTGACATCACAAACAGGTAAAGTGGAATAGAATCTAAATATAGTACAAACTGCTTTACATGAAAGTGGTCTTATGCAGAGAGAACCTCATGTATCGATTATAGACCCCGAGCCGAAGGAAACATGAAGTCTAATGTGGTGTCCCCCAAAAACGCTAGACCCGCGCCCTATGTACTTTAGACCTGATATTTATATATGTTACAAAGCCGCCATCATTTTATTTAATGGACATCATTTTATTCATATTCACCAACATTTTGATGGATATTTCCAGATATTATCGTAAAAACTACAGATTGCCACTTTAATAACTAAAGTCATATCCCTTTTAAAAATGAGCTAGAGGAGAAAAATTATGTTTCTGGACTCATCTTAGACGCAGCCCACGATTGAAGAAAATGAAGCTGTTCAGTCTTTCATTTTATTTATTTATTTTAGCTTTTTTAGCAACATAAAAGCTCATCAACATGAATGAATATCTCAATGAACATTTCCTTCTTTACTCCACAGACCTCCCAACAACATTATGTATACAGCGTTACAATAAACATCTCACAAAAGTCCTGAAATGTTAGATGGAGCAACTGAATTCAACAGGAAGGGAATTACAGATTAAAACCTGAAAAGTTTTTTTTTTTTTTACCTCACACCACATTTCTAGTTAGGCAGTGAGTTGGTTTGGTCCATCAGAACTTAACGGCTTGATGAATAAACCTAAAACATATACTGAGCTTTTTCCTAACGCGGGGGGAAAAAAGTCACCAAAATAATAAACCCCTTCAGATAAAGTGACGCAGTAAGGTATTTCAAGTCATCCTTTTAGATATATGAAAGCATAGAAAGACTCTAAATACAGTATTTATCCTTCATTTTCTACCAAATGTTTGTTCTCTGATCAGAGACCAAACACAAAAGGGATCTACTTCAGTTCTGAATCGCATCAGGAGTGAAACAGAACCGAGAATTAATTACTTTAAATTATTCCAGTAATTAGACCGAAACGGGAATCAGAACCAGGGTGATCTGTCCCCTGTCACCCGTAAGCCACAAAACACTAGAGGTGGGTTGGATTTTCTAATCTATTCAGATTTTTCTGGATTATGTTTCTGGTTTATTAATCCACATTAATGAGCTGTTCCTAAGTCAGAGGTCTGCAGCCTTTACAAGCTGCTTCTGCCCTTTTCCCTAGTAAACACAATTTACAGAGCCACAAAACAAACCTGAAGATTTAAACAATTAAAACGATCAAATTTCATATTATACTAAGACTAACACCTTCTTTCCACTGCACACAAAAGTGGTGCGAAACTTACAGCAAGTGTGATGTTTTGGACGTTTCCTAGAGGCGAGGGCACGCCATCACTATGTTTTGTGTCTATTTTTTACGCGCTACACTTCCAAAACACACCAAACTCCACAGTTTACAATGCGCTAGACAGGAAGTCAAACATAAAAGCAGTGTAAATCATCCAGAAACTTTCTAAATAAAAGTCACGTGCAGGTGAACATACATCATTTTCTAATAAAAACCCAAAGCCAACGTAAACAGTACAGAAAAAAAAGACCTTTTTGGATACATGCAGCCATCTTTCTCCTTGCTTATTTATTGTGTGTGGACTTCTGAAATCACGAGTGATGTTGCAATTCTCTCGTGGTTTCGTGACCTAACGGGATCAGCTGTGTGGAACGCTTATGCTCCTGAATCAGAATTGCTCCTGGTTGGGAATGAGTTTACAGATAAAACGCCACTATTACGTTACACGACCGCTTTTACAGCCATTGGAAAGAAGGGATGAAGGTCCATATGTGGCCCAAGAGCCACGGTTGCAGACCCCTGTCCTAGAGAGCCCTGTTTGCTCTGGAGTATCAGATAAGTATAATAACCTGATGATATCACAGTGATGTCGACAAGCTTCCATTTCCCACTCATTTTCCAAACAAGAGAATGTGGAATTTGGAAGACTCCCCCCCCCCCCCATCCCTAAGACAAGAGTCAAGAAATATTATTGTTTTTTTGTTTTGTTTTTGAATGTTTGTTTTCCATTAGTGCAATGCCAAATGGCAGGAGTACCCCTTTAAATTTTCAGGTAAATCAAATCACATGACACAGCCAATTTAAATAATATTAGCAAAACGTCAATTTACACATAAAAAACCCAAACAGCATAAATAATACAAAAATATACTCACATCTGCCTTTAAAACACTCATTCAGCACATTTGAAGTGTCTGTTTGTGTTTAATTTGACAACAGATTTTCAGGAGGAGGAAAAAAAGCAAATTTGTGATAAAACATATGAACTGAGGTGAGGTGGTTACTTCCTGTTCCCAGGCCGACGGTCTCCCTTTGCTTGATCAGAAACCGTAAAAGCGATTTCACGTCTCTTAGACTCTCTCTCATAAAGGTAGTTTCATGTTAAGTGCAGTAAGCGGCAGCAACGTCTGAGTTTGTGTTCAGATTGCAACGATTGAGTTCTTTGGCGACCCTCCCAAAGCAAATGAGATGGTTAGTTCAATTTTAAAATAAATAAATAAAAACTGACCTTACAGATGGAGTTTATAGCAAGTTTTCTTTTTTTGTGAGAGAAGAAACTAAACAGCCAAAAACATTCACCCTAAAATCTAAGTTAAAAGTAACTAAGAAGATCAGATTTCTCTAACTCACTTTCATCTTTGCTTGACACATGGATGCATTGTTCACTCTGGCTTTCTGTTTTAAAGAGTCTCCTGTTTTATTATCTTATCTATAAACACATGCTACCTTTGTTCCTTCAGTTTCATAACCTTTATCTTCCCTCATAACTATGCAAACACTAAATCTGACAAGCACAAAGGGGAGAGAAACTGATTCTATTTCAAACGGCCTGTTATTACTTTTAAAACCTACTTTAATCCAATTTGGCCTAATTCCTCTGTTAGGTCCTAGCTAAACTGTAGCTGCTCTACATCTTGTTGAACATTTGTGAGCTGCTTAAAAAGGCACTTTTGCATCTTTGCAACTGGACTTCATCAGAATTTAAATGTTACATGGCAGCAACTGAAATAAAAAACAGCTTCTAAAAGGGCACGCAGCAGTTTGTTTGGCAACACTTCCCACCAACTCCGTTTTCTGGCAACACGCTGTTCCTGTGTGAGGAAACCTTAGGAAGTTACCAAAGTTCACTTTTACAAAGCCTAAAGGTAACGGAGGAGTGCTTTGCTCTTTGTTTGAGCCTTATATGTCCTTTTTGCTTTTCATTAAAGCATTTAAATATTTTCCTTTTCTTACATTGATAATAGGACCTTAAAGAACTGCAGAGTATGTGCTAAAAACTCAACGATGACATGCTGATGTTTAGAAAGCATGTGGGACAAAGGATAATGTGCTACGAAAGGTCCACGGAGCCCACTCAGATGGATCCTAAAATCAACTGTAATGTGTTAAAAGTAGAAACTGACAGAAATGTAACTGATGGTGCTGGTACCGATCCGTTTGAGCCTAGGTGATAACAGGACACAAATAAGACTAAACGGCTCTGCAAATCCTTCTGTTTTAAGAATCAGTTGGAGCTTTTCACCTTTTTGCATGTCACTAACAAGAATTTGCATCCAGTTGTTTTTTTTTAGTAAGATGTTAAAGTAAAACCTGAAGGTTAGGGCCTCACAGTCAGAGGATTTGTGGTCCTTGTGGGGTTTGGTGCAGCCCCCAGCTAATTTTTGTCTCTCCAACAGGTTGCTGACATAGTGATACTTTCTCACATGTAAATATTTGACCAATCTGCACATTTCAGGAATATACATTGAGCAAAAATATCTATCTCAAGTCATTTTTGTATTTTTCTAAACTAAACAAATCACACATTTGTGGCCAGCGAGGAATATTACCTTGAAGACTTTAGCTCGTCTTGAAAAGTGCAGACATGCCTGATCTAGATGGTAGCGTTCTCATCCAAAAGATAGTTCCTTAATCTTCACCAGGGTTAATGAAGGAGTGATGAGAGTGAAAAGTATGGTGTCCTTCCTAGGACATCATCACGTCTCAGGAAAACATCTTCAGCCTTCACATCCAGAGGCAGATATACAGGGAGTGGGGAGGGCAACTGTCCTACTGTCATTGAGCCTTTTCCTCCAGCTGCCCCCCCCCCCCCCCCCCCCCCCCTAGTTTTACGTCCCTAAAATACACCTTGAGGGAACATAAAAGTGATATCTGACTTTGGTCCTGAACACTAATTTAACTCATTCACTGCCACTGACGACTAAAGTCGTCATTTTAAATCCAACCGTTCACTGCTTCACAAAGTCGTCATTGGCATTTTTTTACTGTGTGGGCATCGGAATGAGCCCCGCACCGTGAGAACAAACGTCTCAGCTCTAAAGCCGATCTTCATCCGCATACGTCACATGTCACGTGATCAGGAAGCAGAAAATCCATGTGTTAGGAGATCGTTTTGGGTCGCTGCTGTAAAAAAAAAGTGAGGCGCGAACTGGAAGTTTCTGCCGATTACAATTCAACAACGGATTATGAAAGAACGGATAATGCTTGAAATGCGTGAACTCTTCCTGATATAAGAGGTGAGTCTCCACGTTGTTTTGGTTGTTTTGGCGTCGACATCATCCTAGCGTGCAACGTTCTGCGACTCTTTAAAAAACCGTGAAAACGGTGAGAAACGCTGGCAGCGAAGGGCTTTACCGATCAGGAAACGGCTGGCAGCGAATGAGTTAAGATATTTTTCTGAATTTATTTTCATTTATTTTGTGGAACATTGGATTTTTTCATTTATACTTGTGGATATTTTGTTAACTCTAACTACATAAAGAGAATTTTCACAAATTGAGGTCCATCATTGCTACCCTGCCTTGACGTTTCTTACCTTCTTTACCCCCCCACACGTAAAATTTCCTAGATCTGCCACTGGTTGCATCAAACAGCCTCCATAGGTCTTTCTGCTACCTATTCTACATCTCTACGGTCTAACTCTAGTTCTGCAGCCACCTGCTGTCTAGAACATTTCATTCAACGTTCCACACGTTAACCACACTGTAAGCTGCTTCTTCTCCCTGCGGCCCGTCTGTATCTGATGCTGAGGTTATTTGGACTGGACTTTTGAATAAGCTCAAAACAAGTCTCTACCAGCAACAACACATTCAACAGCACCTTAAATCATGCTGGAACTTCCCCCAACAGCATAGCGGCTTCAGCAGACGAGGGGATACTGTTCTCTTAAAAAGAAATTAGCGCGCGAGCTAAAAAGACACCAGTGTATGAACTATAAATGAGAAGATGGTAAAGCCGTGATTCAAGCTGTCAACAAAGGTTAAATAAAAGATGGTCCAGAAGTTGCTGAGCATGCAGATATGTTGAACTGGTGTCTAAGTTCGTGAGCTGGTCTGTGATCTACGGCTAAAACAACACAAATGATGCAAAAACAGCCGAGGTAATGCGGTAACGCTCCTTAATATCTGAGCTTTTGACGTCCTAGCTAAATAACTCAGTGATGAGGGTTATGTTGAGACTGAGACGCTGACAGCACAGCATTCAGCACCAGCGGGGCTTAGCAGCCCGACCCTGTCTCCATAAAATGTCTGTAATCAACCCCCCCCCCCCCCCCACCCCACCCAGGCGAGGGTGTCAGGCCTTTCCTGCCTTCATGTACGTGGGGATGGTGCCTCGCTGAGTCAGACCCTCGAAGCGTTTGTACGTGTAGTTCAGGAAGACCCAGTCTTTCGATTTAAAGTCGGGTTCCGTCGAGTTGGCTGTTCACACACGCGCAGACAGACACACGCATAAAAGAAATAAATTAGGAATATTTTAAGAGTACGTACCACATCAACAAAGGAACAAAAACGTAACTAAACAATGACACACCAGGCTGAAGGATGTCTGATTCAGGGAAGTCGTCAAAGTTTGACGTGTCGTCGATACTTTTGATTTCAATAGAAATGGCTGCTGGCCGCTCCCTGTGCATAGAGATGAGACTTGTTGAAAATTTGGTTCTAATAAACCTCCTGACTTCTCCTAGACTGTTCTTTTGTACCTGATGTGCTCCCAATCCACCGACTCAAAGAAAGCATGGCTCTTGATCTCCTCCACACTCGCAGCTCCAACTCGGTTCTCCGCATCGGTGCAATACCTTAAAAACAAGAGCGGAACGTTAAAATGAAAAACGGTCAGATCATGTTGAGAATGACCAGATTCAAGCCATTAGCAAAACCAAATATGTTTTTCAGCAGCATCTAGATTTGATTCAAAGCTAGGCAGCAAGCCTAACTAGCCCACAGCTAACAAGCCTAACGGCCCTAGCCTGTAGTTGGATCATTATAAGTAATCCTGTACAGTATTCTCTACAGACATCTTACACTAAAGCAAACACACATTTTACGGCACATTTTTGTATCTTTCCAAAACAACTGAAAAAATCAACAGAAAAGGGATCCAATCTGAATGTTTGATGAGCTACAAGTCTAGGTAGAACCTTAAAATAAGGTCTTTGGCTTTCTCTGAGATGGGAACTTCAGGTGGGAAGACAAGAGTTTCCTTCCAGTTCATAACTTTTCTGTACGTCTCCTGTGGCGTCTCGGAACAGAAGGGAGGATAACCTAGAAAACACAAAACAAATCTCAATTTGTAGCTTAGACACCACGCCTTTAAGGTATCTTCAGCCCAAAGGGAAAATCTGTCATTTTGTTGTTTATTTTTACTGGAGGAAAATCATTTCTTCCCCACTCAACTTTAACATCTATACTTAGTACATAATCCAAATAATTATGACATATATACATTTTTATCACTATTTATAAACATAGACCTCATAACAACCAGCTGACCGTAGAAAATACAACAACGGCTCTAAGTAAGTATATTTGGTAGTCAAAGAAAGATTTTGCTCTGCAGGTCTAACACTGGACGGAACAGTTTTGTGTCTTACCAATCACAGTGCTCTACGTTTGTTGGACGGGCTTTGCACCAGAGCTGCGATGGAAAAAAAGACTACAAAAATGGCATCAGCTCAGGAACAGTGCTTGTTTGAAATGGCTTTAGCATCAACTTTGGACGACTGACTCCTACTGCACACTGGAAGCATCAGTGGTGCAGAAGGGCAGCAGAAAGGTTTACTCACGACAATCGCTGCACTCCAGAGCACACATGGTCCCCAGGCTCCTCATAGACTACAATGGATTCTAGTTGAAGCAATGATGTTCTGCCGCTGATGCTTCCAGTGTGCAGTAGGCTTTAGACTTGGGCTTTTCTTTGAGACAGAGGTACTGAAGTTCTTAATTTCAAAACCGGATGCGGAGGGGCTGACGTTGAGATCGTTGAGGACTACCGGTACCTGGGTGTACACTTGGACTGTAAACTGGACTGGACTAAGAACACCAATGCCATCTTCAAAAAAGGGCAGAGTCGGCTTTTCCTACTGAGGCGGCTCGGGTCCTTCAATGTTGGTAGGAAAATGCTGACCATGTTCTATCACTCGGTGTTGGAGAGCGTTGTGTTCTTTGCAGCTGTGTGCTGGGGCAGTGGGGTGAAGATAGCAGATGCCAACCGGCTGAACAAGCTGATTAGAAGGGCTGGGTCTGTCCTGGGTGTTAGACTGGAGAACCTGGAGGAGGTGTCTGAGAGGAGAATGCTAAAAAAGCTTCTCTCTATCATGAACAACCCCTCCCACCCCATGCACGCCCACATGATGGACCACCAAAGCACACGCAGCAGAAGACTCATTGCCCCGAAATGCAGAACTGACCGCCACAGGAAATCCTTCGTACCGGTAGCAATAGGACTGTTTAACTCTTCCTCACGCTGTAGGTGATTCTCCAAATACTATTACCTTGGTTATTCTGTTCCCTCCCAGACTGTGCAATATTACCCAAGAGTTCTGATTGTAAATATGTTTTTACCCCCCCATCATATCATATGCTGCTACAAACCCATATTCTTTTACACAATACTTTAATCACTTTTGTGAATCGCCTGCACCGACGGCTTAATTACTTATTCACAAGGATGCAGTCATGTATTTAATTATTGATATATGCGATTGTTTGTTATGCACTATCCTACATGGTACTACTGTATATCTTTTTTTTTAATGAATATGTTGTATATCATATTTCTATTTCACCTGTTCCTTTGTCTCTCCAACTGCTTTGAGCATGTACATGACACAAGAATTTCCCTCGGGATAAATAAAGTTGTTCTTATTCTTATTCTTATTTGCTTCTTCTTTGACAGCGTAGGGCGGACTGCCTTCCATAGAGACAGATACGCCACGTTGTTCGCTGCTCTGGTTGGTCCTGCTGCTTTCCTCTGCTTGTGTGCAGAGAGAGTTTGAAAGACAACCGCAGATTTAGGCCCACGACTGGGTTATTTCAATGGCTGGTGGCCAGGCTCTATATTTGGTGCTTTCACATACAGACTTTTATGACTGAGCGATTTGAACTGTTTCAGCTTTAACCAATAAAAGTGTGTTCCTACCTATAAGCATTTCATACATGATGACACCCAGAGACCACCAGTCACACAGCTTGTTGTAGCCGGTCTGCATGAACACCTCTGGAGCGATGTAATCTGGTGTCCCCACAGTGGAATAAGCCTGCAGGTCAACCAGAACGTTAACAGATAAATCCTAATGCAGGTCACATGAAAATCATGGTTGAAGCAGGAAACGACATCAAGAAATCCTCACTGGAAGCAGGAAGTTGTAAGCTCCACATTTACGTCCCTAATTTGCCTGAATGTGTGTCTGTACGTGTATTTTCATACCAACTGTCTTCGGTTCTTTTTCCAAGTCTCAGCTTTCCTCTTGGAATTCATATTCTGAAAAGCTGAATGAAACAAACATTACGTGAAACTTCACGTGTTTTCATTTGAATTTGGCGACACATCAGCTCGACTTTAGGACTCACAGAAATCGCTGGGCGGGTTGTGTGTCAGGTTTCTATAGAACTCAGTGCGATGAGCCTTCTTCAGTCCTGTACACAGACCAAAATCTGACAGTTTCACGTGACCCTGTGAGAAAAAAAACGTATTTAAAATGGTATGTCATGAAGCACATGATTCACTCCATCAGGGTGTGTGTGTGGTGTCCTGAGTTGGTTCTGACCCTGGAGTCCAGCAGCAGGTTGTCAGGTTTGATGTCTCTGTGGATGAAGCCCAGCTGGTGGATGGAGTCGATGGCCAGGACGGTCTCTGCGATGTAGAACTGTGTGGCCTCTTCGGAGAGCGTGTCCTTCTTCATCAGTAGTGTCATCATGTCGCCTGGCAACAAGGGTCAGAGGTCAGAACCAGAGGTGGCTTTAGTGCCCTTCACTTCTCATCGTTAGTTCTTAACCCTCCCACTGTCACCTCACCTCACAGGGCTGAGGAGTGAGCACCACCCCACCTGCCACGTGGACCTCAAGGGATAAACCATCAATCCTGCTCAATGGTTAACTTTCCTGGCAGGGTCACCCATTAGGACAGTGGGAGGGTTAAACCAGGTTCTGTCAGTGCGCCCCAGAGCAGCTGTGGCTACATCGTAGCTCATCACCATCAGTGTGTGAATGTGTGTGTGAATGGATGAATGATACACTGTAGTGTAAAGCGCTTTGGAGTCCTTACTCTGAGAGGCGCTATACAAGTGTGGGTCATTTATCATTTATAATTTTAAAGAACAAGCATTCAGGCAGGTTTAGATATGAATTATTCTGAGATTCTAAAACCTTTAATTTAACATTTATTAGCTAGACTGGATGCAGTATTTAAACATTCAAATGAAAGTAAACTCATTTCAGATATCCCGTAGGGCTTTTTCCCTTACATTAGTGCCTAAATGACACATTTTAGGACAAAAGATACCACTTTTTCCAATTATGTGCTTTATTTTATTTTATTTGAATGAAAAGTATGGAAATCTGATTCCATTTCAGATGTTTTTGTGTCATAATTTTAATTTCACCTGTTCCATACTGAACATGCCATCAAATAATTTTCACAATAATATTCTGTATATATTGTAAATACTGTTGTTAGTATGATACACTATGTTTCACGGCTGGCCAGGGAACGCCATAGGATTCCCCCGGAGGAGCTGGTCCAAGTGGCTGGGGAGAGGGAAGTCTGGACCTCCCTGCCTGGCTGCTGCCCCCGCGACCTGAACCCGGATAAATGGCCGAAAGTGGATGGATGGATGCTGTTCATTATTCTATCTAAAATATCTATTTAAATCCTAAACATGGTGGACTATCTTAATGACATTTTAGAAGGTATAATGTATTAATGACATTGAGATCTCTAGAATACCTGAACTATAGATAACTGCTTAGAAGATCCTGCTTAACTATTATGTGATAAATTGGCTCTCCATACATCCCAGGACAGGGTCTGAGTCTTAAATGTGTCAGTGATGCCTCTGAGCCTTGGTGCAAACCTCCTGGCAGGAACTCCATGATGAGGTAGAGGTTCCTCTTGTCCTGGAAGCTGTAGAACATCTTGACCACCCAGGCGCTGTCCGCCTCCACCAGGATGTCCCTCTCTGCTCTGATGTGAGCCACCTGCAGGAGCAGGAACCCTCAGATCGTTAACGGCACCAACAGCCACTGTCTTTTCCTCACTTTGAACACATTACCTGCTCTTTCTCCAGCATGTCCGCCTTCCTCAAAATCTTCATGGCATAAATGTGACCCGTGTCCTTTTTCTGAACCAGACGAACCTTTAGGATGCAACAATTCAAACACACAAGGTTTTCTAATTCATTTCACTGTAATTTTGTACATTCAACAGGTTTTTTTTTTTGCTTTTTTTATTTACTTATTTTTATAAAAATGTAACGCACTTCTCCAAAAGCACCTCGCCCAATAACTTTAAGAGACTCAAAGTCATCCAGACCGAGCCTTGTCCTCTTCAGTCGCAGGAACTCTGTCTCCTTTCGAGCGTGCTGTGAGCGCCGCATCACTTTCTGCAACAGACAGAAAGAAGCTGCGTTATGTGACAAGCTTTCAAATAAAAAGAAAGGTTAAAAATATCCCTACAACTAGTAAACAAACAATAAATAATGCACCTCCTCATCTGGTAAACCCTCCTCATCCATGGCCTTCTCAAGTTTCTTCTGCCTGGAAATAAATAAAAGAAAAATATTACCAATACAAAGGTGGAGGTAGCAGGGAGTAAACAGCGACTCAGGTGTCTCCTACAGGAAGCACTGAGGCCTGTTACCTGGTCGACAGATCAGGTAACAGGAGAGCAGAAGTCACAGCTCTTTGTTTAGTTCACACCTTGGATAAACTGTCTAAGCAGTGAAACCTGAAGCTTTAAACAACAGCTACATTTAATAAGGATGAAATCCACCTCAGGTTTTTTTGTTGTTGTTGAACAGATACGGCATGAGGAAAAAGATGGGAATGCCAGGAAGACCGGGGTGGGTTTACCTCGTCTCCCGCTCCTCGTGCTGCGTGAGCAGAGTGCTGTAGAAGTTTTCCAGCGTCAGCTTGGCCACGGTCACCCTCTCCCGGGTGTGGTTGCTCATGGGAAGGGCAGCTGCCGTCCCTCCCGTCATGGCCATACTATCCTGGGAGACGACATGAGAGGAAGAGAGAGAAATCTCATGATGCACCAGTCCACACGCATACTCAGGTGCTGACACAGCCAAGGATTAAAACGTTTGGACCGTTACACAAATGTTCGTTTTAGAACCTTCAGTCACATGTTTCCGTGGTTACTGAGGATAAATTATTAGCATTTCATATGTTTCTAAACTTTTACTGACAATAAAGTTTATGTAAGGCAGGGGTGTCCAAACGTTTTATCACAAGGGCCAAAATCAACTAGATGAAAGCACTAAAGGAACACAAAATAAAGTAGAAAAATACACCTTTTCATTTTTTGGGATCTTTTCAATAATACATAAAACGTGCAACAATTTATTGAAAAGAACAGAATTATGGTAAATTGCACTTTCTGGGGGGTTCGACAACCCCCCAAGGAGCTTTACCCATTCACATACTGGTGAGGATGAGCTACAATGTAGTGAAGAACATTTCAGCAACACTCCTCTCTCACCAGCAACAAAACTTTGTTACAAAATATCCATAACACTGTCCTATATGTGTATCACAGCAGCTCACTGCAACATAATTTAACTACTACAGTAGATAACTATTTAGCTAGTTAGTATTTCTGTATTATTTTGAGTGAAAGACAATAAAACAAAAGAAACACTTCATTTCTCAACCATTTTATTTTATTTATTTATTTATTTTTTTACCGTGTCCTGTCTGGCTGTGAAGCAAACAGAATTGATGTCTGAATGCTGGTGACAAGCCTTACAGATTTATTCTCAGGTGGAGCATCAAAGCGTTTGCTTTTAATGTCACGCCTGATACTTAAAACTTTATTGTTATTGTTGTTGAATGCTTTGTAATTCCGACCAGACACGGAGACAGAGGTGAAAGAGAAAGGAAGAGAAAAGGTGGAGAGAGAGGAGGGGGGGGGGGGGGGGTTCCACAAAAATAAACAATGAACAAGAGTCTGCTTCTAGACCTGCAGAAAAAGACAAAAAAAAAAAGGACACAAAAAAGGGACACAACAACAATACAACAAGATCTACCTATCACTGCGTCAACTTGATGAAAAAAACAAACAAACAAAAAAACAATATATATATATATAATCAACATTGCTTAACTGAAGAATCACGATAATAAATCACAATGCATTAAGTGCCCCCCATAGTCTTAAGACATGTGTTGAACGTGCCCAAGCCCATACTTTTGAGAGCACCATGTGAGCACCTGTGTGTGTACACACGCTTGTTTATGTAAAGATTCTCTATAGGAGCGTCCAACAGAGAGTGTGAGGGACCACAGATCCGCCCCCCAAAGATGCGCAGGAGACGGGGGGAGCTCCAAGTCCCAGAGATCCAGGCATTGCCCCAGAATGCAGGAACCCCAAGGAGACTGCAACCAGAAAGGCCCCCGCCCCCCTCGAGAGGCACAGAGGATCGCCCCGGGGGGCCACAACCAGCAGCCGGCAGAGTCCCTGGAGATATCAGCGGCAAGCCCACAGGCCCGCCCGCAGCCTCCCACCCCCTAGCCGGCCGAGCCCGGGACCCAGCGACCCGGGACCCAGGGGTGACCACCCCCGCCGGGGACCCAGCAGAGCCCAGGGACCCAGACCCCACCAGGCAGCCACCGGGATCTATCAGGCAGATGCCAAAATCTTAAACCCCCAGACCCGGTTGCCACGAACACTCAGGCAGACCATGGCACAAGCCCCCACACCAGGTGTGGCAGGGGGAGGGGGGACAAAGATCTATATCATCAAGAGAAGTTCCAGGAGAGGGGAGGACCCAAAGGCCCCACCTGACATATACAGTCATACACAAACACAGTCACACACTCCCTCCCTCATGCTCACACATGCACACACAACCCAAGACTTACAAAAATGCACGCCGGACACTCACTCATGCTCCCCATACACACCCTATTCACTCTGGTCCCGGTACTGCTGCACATGGGGTACAACCATCACCGGTAACCAGAGTTTGACCCTTTCTGCTGGGGTGCTGATGAGCAGGCTCCCCCGCCCAACGCTGAGCACAGCAACCCACCACCCCAGACCCCAACCAGACGGCCAGATCTCCCTCCTAGCCTCCAGCCCCAGGAAGCCTAGCAACAACAGAGGTGGCTAAGACCCCTAGTCTCCCTCCACCTGCTCCAATATAGTGTTGTGTGATCATGAGGTGTATTCCATGGCTGTGGTGAGTGGGCAGTGCGGGCATCATCCGGCATATGCCAGCTGATGCCACCGCACCGCCCCACTTACACCCTCAGCCATCAGTGTCTAAGTGCGGTTTAAAATTGGAAGTGGGCACCGGCACTCGGGAGGAGGATGAAATATCCCCCTGCCAAATGCCGTTGAATGTGCTCACTCCCAAGGCCCTAAGTGTGTGTTTGTGTGGAATGTCGTCAGTGGAAGTGTATAAGGTGCAAATAAAATTGGGGGGCAGGTTGCCACAGGAATGCGGAAATGGGGTCCATACCCGCACTCCCTGACTTGCCCACCCCCCAAGGTCCTATGTGTATATTTGTGTGATGATGTGAGGGAGCAGGAGGAGAGAAATATGCGGGGATGGGGAGGAATGGCTGGTTGGGCTTAGCCCTCCAGGGAGCCAGCTCCCCTACTGGCCCCAATAGGCACCTCTGTTGTCAAACTGCCACCCAGGGCATGGAGACCCCAGCCCATCCTGCCAGGGCCCAAAGCAGCAGTATTACAGAGCCTCACGGAGTCCGAGGGCACCAACCCAGCCCCATCCCAGCAGAATATCTATGCCCACCCCTGCATTTGCACAACTTCCAGAATATATAAGACATGGGACATCCAGGTAAGGTTTGGTCCTCCCCGTCCTGGACCTCCCCCTCCCCTGTGATGGAACGGCAGAGGAGCCAAGGTCTACCTGATGCCCCCGAACCCGGGCCAGGCACTGCTGCGTGTTCCTGCCTTGTTCCCGGCAGCATACAAGTCAGGACCCGACCTCCAAGGCCCCGCCCAGATCCCCACACGGGGCCGGCCACCCCCAAACCCCGAGCCCCTAGGCCCCCACCCAGACCCGTCCAGGGGTATTGCAGCCGCCAGGCAGTGACCCATGGCCGCCGCCAAGATCCCCAAGGGGCCCCACTCACAACCGCCAGCAGTCCACCCCCCGAGGCAACCCAAGCACCTCCAGAGGGGGGCAACAGCCCCCCAGTCCCAGACACCCCCAGTGAACCCACCTCCAGGGAACATCCGGATACTCCAAACTCAGACTCCACACCCCCCCACCCACACCATCCCGCAGGACAACATCAATGGCCCCCCACCCTCGCTATGTGATGGAACCGATCAAAGGAGCCCAGAGAGATTCATCTGAAGTGGAAGCAGAGGCTATATCAAGTGCAATATGATCTAACAAACGATTTCTATACTGGTTAATGCAAAGACTTTCTCTATTTTTCCAATTCAAGAGGATAGTTTTCTTAGCGATGCACATGGCAGTCAGAACCACGTGAACCAAAGATGTTGCAATCGGGACATCGTGCAGCTGTCCCAGTAAACAAAGAGAGGGGGAAGTTGGGATATGACATTTCAGACATTTTGACAGATCCTCACATACTCTACCCCAAAATTCCTGGACAGGTGGGCAGGACCACAGTGCATGAATGTAATTGTCAGGAATGTTGTTTGTGCAGTGTGTACAGGTGTCAGACGACACAAACCCCATCTTGAACATCCGATGACCTGTATAGTGTACTCTGTGTAGAATTTTGTACTGAATTAATTGTAAATTGGGGTGTCTGATCATTTTAAAAGTTTTTAAACAAGTTTGGGACCAGAAGCCCTGGTCAAAGCTAACTGATAGATCCACCTCCCATTTTTCAATAGGAATTGCAATTTTATCGTCTATTTTGGACAGTGTCTTATATACTTTAGACAGTAGTTTGGGGGGTTTGAGATTATAAAAGTCTAATACCCTTGGTGGTGTTTGTAATTCTATTTTATTGAGCTTAAATTTTTGTTTGACTACAGATTTAATTTGGTGATATTCTAAAAAGCTATTCTTATCCATTCCAAATTGGAAGACTATTTGATTAAATGGGATGAAGTCCAATCCTTCATATATGTGTTCCAGGTATAGGATTCCTTTATTTTTCCAGTCCGGAAGGTTCATCATTTTGTTGTTTTGCAAAATGTCAGGATTGTTCCAGATAGGTGTGCGTCTGCATGGTACTAGTGAAGACTCTGTCATTTTAAGATACTCCCACCATGCTGTCAGAGAAGTGCTGATACTAATACTTTTAAAGCTTTCATGTTTTCTTATGCTTGAGCTAATAAATGGTAAGTCTGAAAGCTCTATCGTATTGCAAAGTGTCTGTTCTATATCTAACCAGGACTCATCTAATGGGTTATTTTGCAACCATCTTGGTATATATTGCAGCCTGTTGGCTAAGAAATAATAATAAAAGTTGGGTAGATCCAGTCCTCCTCTGTCTTTGGTCTTCTGAAGCGTTTTTAGGCTAATTCGTGGAGGTTTATCCTGCCAAAGGAATTTAGTAATTGAGGAGTCCAGAGATTTAAACCAGTCAGCTGGTGGCTTGTTTGGGATCATCGAGAATAAGTAATTTATTCTGGGTAAGACCATCATTTTAATTGTAGCAACTCTCCCCATTCTGGGTAAGACCATCATTTTAATTGTAGCAACTCTCCCCATGAGTGATATTGGTAAGGATTTCCATCTTGCAAGATCATCTTCCACTTTCCTTAAAAGTGGCATGTAGTTTAGTTTGGTTAGATCTGCTAACTTGGGAGAGATATTAATTCCCAGGTATGTGATATTCCCTGACTCCAATTGTGTATTAAGCAAATTGACAAATGAGAAATTAATTGGTAGAACTGTGGATTTTAACCAGTTTATAGAGTAATCTGAAACTCTTGAAAAAGAGTTTATCAGTTCTATTGCTTGGGAGAGAGAGGATTGAGAATTCTGGAGAAAGAGTAAAACATCATCTGCATAAAGACTGATCTTATGTT